CCTCCTCCTCCTCCTCCTCTTCCTCTCTCAGGATGAAGATGATCTCCCTGCTGCTCCTCATCCTCAGCTCATGTCTCTGTGGTCAGTCTCCATCTTGTCTTTGTGACAGAAAGCTCTCTAGATGGAGCTGAAAGACTCCCATGTTCCAGTTCTCAGAGCGTCTGCCATAAATCCTCTTCATTGTTCTGTCCTTCCAGAAGCTGCTTACACCTCCGACCCTCAGGAACCGATTGGAGATCCAGGAGCTAAACGTTCGCCAAACATCGGCCTTGAGATTTCTCTTGCAGTGTTTTCAGCAGTCGGATCTGTAGCATTATTTCAGCTGACCAAATGTCTCTTACGTCGCTGTTTTGGAAACAATCAGAGATGTTCAGAAATTATTTCAGCCATGTAGCTGGAGAGCAACTGATGGAGCTCTTGGATTGGACGTTATTTTCCTGAATAATTAGAAAAACTGGAATATGTTTGTTTTTAGAAACTGTATATTTATTCATGTAAAGTTTATTTCACATGACAGAAATGTCATGTTTTAATCCTTGAAGGTAAAACTTTAAAATTGAAGAAGGTGTTCTTACTTTCCTCCATTATTGAATGGAGAAAAACAATATTCAGATTCAGATCAGGATCAGAATAAAACAGCTCTGCTGCGTTCCAGTTGTTTTACATTAGTCTGTTTGCTTAAATTGCTGGATTAATACAATAATTATAAGTTACAATATCCATCTTGTTTTACAGTGCATGAGTTGGGGCAGGTTTGAGGTCGGGGTTGCATATTCAGTAGCTGTTTCTGACAAATGAACTGGTATCAAATCAGATGGTTTCTGCTAAACTTCACTGTAAGCAGCACATCACTGGGATTAATGATAAACGCTGTCAGGAAATCAGTTTCATGTTGAATTGTTGTTCATCCCTCTGCCTCAGTTTGAAACATAAAAAATGTTTTTAAAAGAGTGGTGGGGTTGCCCCCTTGTCTCACAATAGAGTCATTTCTTTTAATAAGGATCAGTTAGTTTACCTGATAGTTCAGATTGAGACAAAATAATCTCCACGGAGAACCGGAGCATTTTATATGTGTGTTGGTTCATACTGACTACATTTACTGCATATTATCCTCTCATAACATTTCTCATGCTTCCTGAGGCCTGAGGAGGGTCAAATCAAGATAATTCATCTGATATTTATCTGAACTTGGAGGGAATTTTCTGGGACCAATCAGGTCTTAAATATTTTCAGAGGTGAATCTATTTAGTGATGACTTTGGACTCATTTGAAGATGGATTTTCAACACTTCCAGACTAAAGTTCAATATATTAATGATTTCATTTGCTGCTTTGCATTTCTGACAGTTTTTATATTAAACCTGTGAAATGAGGCATTTATTTTCCAAGGTGAAATCCTACAACTTGAAGAACTGTGATGTAATTTTTCAGGATTGTTTTGTCTTTTTCTGTTATTTCCTGATTGTTAAACTCATACCTATTGTTACAAAGCACTTTATCATGTTCATGTGCTGTAAATAATATTTCAAAGTTTTCAATAAATCCATATTTACAACCATGTTGTCCTGTGTAAAATAAAGTGATTTAAATTTTAATCCAGTCAGATTGGAGCTTAGAAACAGTTTGTGTTTGTACACGATGCCATACGAAACAAACTATTTTACAAATGTTAATATTAATTTCTCTAACATTCAGTAGGAAACAAAACGACGAATGTTTCTCTAAAATATTCTAACTAAAATGTTTCATCAGTCAGTGGTTGTCTAACAGCTCCATTGCTCAATGTGGTTTTGTTTCTTATCAGTTGAGATCCTCTTTTTTCAGGCACTGGAGCTCTGCAGCTTTTACTTTTGATTCCGTTGTTGTTTTTCTTTCTGAAATTTTCTGATCATTTCGTCCAGATAATCAATAACTGAACAGGTGAGCAGCTCAAATATATTCATATCTTCTTGGTTTAATGTTTTCTACAACTTTTGTTACGTTACATACTGATGAGGAAGCAGCGCCATGACGACAGATTAAAATGCTGCTTTGTGTTCAGAAAGTAAAATGCTAAAATAAATACTTTATTTAATGCACATTATGCATCTGAATTGCGTTTTGACAGATGTGTGTTTGCAGCTCAGACATAAAGGTAAAAGGCGACAGATGGTTTCTGCAGAGAAACAGGAAATGCAAATTTTATCAAGATGAAGAAAAACTTTTTCATTTTTAACATCAAAAATGATATTTGTGCTGCTTAATTCAGGATCTGATCAAATATGAACATTATTCATCTGCTGGGTAAGAAAGTTGAGGAATAAAACAAAACAATAGAAAAAGATCAAAGTTATCTGGCGCCATCTAGTGACGAAAACATGTTTCTGCATGTTGCAGAGAAAATCACTTTAGTTGCTCAGACTTTAGTTTGTGATGATAAAAGAGACTCATGACAGTAAATATTTTACATAATTATTAAATAATTTTAGGCATATTTTCCAACTCCAAGCTGAATCTTAACAGCAGGTGATGTGAATATTTGTAATGAGGGAGGCTGTAAAGAGGCCATTAATTGTGACTCTTAAACTCTCAATTTTGAACATTATTAGTTTGAGGTTTAGTAATATTTAAGATTAAATGAGAATTTGTAGTTTCTGATTAATAACATAATGCTCAAAAATAAAACTTGCCCAATAGCACAGTGTGTTTCTGTCACTGATAATCAGAATAATAGACGACATCAGAATGTGGACGATCTGCTTCTAACTGCATCTCAGTGAAGCTTCACTCAATGTGAACTCAGCTTCTTCCTTTTACATTAATGTTTGTAGCAGCTTTTATTTGGAAAGACGAATATTCTCAATCCTCAAATATAACATTGTCAATGAAACATTGACACTGAAAACTGTAACTGTGATATATAAATGTCTGGTTTAGTTTTGTATCTGTCTAACATGAATCTTTCTTTTCAGAATAAAACTGCAGAATTGATTGTAAAATTCAACACAACAATCTAAACAGGGCTGGAAAAAAATGAATGAAGGTTTAAGACAAGAACAAGATAATTATTATTATTTTACTCATAAAAGCAGTTTAGGTTTAATGCATTGAGTGATGTTTATTAATGTCCTGCTGCCTCTCCTCCTCCTCCTCTTCCTCTCTCAGGATGAAGATGATCTCCCTGCTGCTCCTCATCCTCAGCTCATGTCTCTGTGGTCAGTCTCCATCTTGTCTTTGTGACAGAAAGCTCTCTAGATGGAGCTGAAAGACTCCCATGTTCCAGTTCTCAGTGTGTCTGCTCCTCTCTTTCCCTCTCTGTCTCCTCAGCAGCAACATTTGTAGTGAATGTGACCCAGAGCAGCTATGAGGCAGAGGAGAACCACAGCATCACTCTGGAGTGGACCTTCACCACCAGACCCGACTCCTCTCTGTCCTCCATGTTTATCCTCTGTGGATTTCTAGCTCCACCTAGAGGACTGGTTGTCTATCATCTCCATGAAGGTGTTGAGATTCCAGAGTCTCAGGATGATCAGTTTTCAGGACGAGTCCAGAGTGACAAAGACGTCCTCAGAGAAGGACGAATCAGACTCCATGTGTCCAGACTGAGGACTGAAGACTCTGGTCTGTATCTGTGTGACGTGAAAACTGAAGATGGATTCAACTCTGGAAGATGTCGACTCAACGTTACTGGTGAGAAGAAATAATATAAAAACATTTTCTCTGATAGTTAAATGAACCATCATCATCATCTTATAGATCAGGGGTTTTCAAAGTGTGGGAGAGTTTGTCCTCATTAGAGAAGAAATCAATAGTTGTCCCTCCCAAATTTCATTAGATACTTTTTTCTGTAAACTTTTTTTGTTCTTATGTTTGATCTTCCATTCATTCATGTTTATCTCATATTGTGTTTGTATTGATTCACTATTAGATCTGGTCTGAAAGAACAGACAAAACAATGAATTTGATTTTAATTGACAAAATTTACATAAAGTGAAAATGTGCCAAAAACAAAAACAATCTGACACACACTAAATGTTGAAACCTGTTTTTTTGTTGAGTAAACAAGGTGAGTAAAATTAATTCATTAATCATATGTTGCACAGCAAACATTCAATACACTGTTGGCATAAACTAAAAATAAATCCAGGCATTTTATAGGACGTCATAAACACCCAAAAATTAAATAAATGGCTCAATGGCATTTTAGCTGAATTGTTCTGGACCCTTAAGAACCAAAAGCAAAAATAATCAGTAGTTCCATGTCAATATTTTCAATAGTTTCTAAGAAATAACCAAATTCCACTATGGAGTTCTGTTCTGCGATTATAAATAGGATAATAGACAAAACCAAACCGAGAAACAAATATTGGCGGTTTAATTAACAATAGGCAGGATTGTTAATTAAATAGCCAAAGAATCCAAACAACCTGAATCAATCACCTCACCGCTGAATTTGGGAACTTCATCAAGTTTTCATTCAGTTTTGGAACGAGCTCTGAGACACCCACACATGAATCCTCCTGGATCTCAGTTTTCATTAATAAATATTTCTGGTTTCTCTCCAGCAGCTGCTGATCAGATCCAAACTCAGAGACCAACTTTGACTCCAGAACCAGAGAAACTAGAATGGATCTTCATATTCATCATTCTGGCACCGACAACATTAGCAGCTCTGATGGTTCTTCTCTGTTGTCCTCCAGAAAAATGTTGTCTGTCAAGAGAAAAAGACTTTGATTTTACTCATAATGAAAGGACAACAGAAAGAGAACGGACGTTATTTTTTTAAGATGGACTGTGAGGTTCAGCCTCTGCTGGTCTGAGAGCGTCTGCAGCATCAGGACCAGCAGAGAAACTCCTGATCTGAAGGCTTCAGGATGCTGAGCTGATCAGAGATCAGCAGCTGAGCTTCAGGATGTTTCAGGAGGCTGAGAGCAGCAGCTGCTGCTTCCTGACCACAGGATCCAGAAACCAATGAGGAGACGATGGAGTCATGATGAGACATTAAAGAGGAAACAAGCAAACAGAGAGAGATTCATTCAGGGAGAACAAGATGGAGACACAGCTGGTGGAAAAACAAGCAGGTTTTAATAAAAGTTCAGTTTCTGTTTATTGATCAAAACAACAGAAAAATCATGTGATCAAAAATAAAACTCATAAGATTTGAGTTGAAACACTGAGAAAACTTTGGACATGTTGAAGAATTAACGGTTCTGGCTCTAGTGGGCAGTAATGGAGTAGACGTGTTTTGTAGAGCTCCGTGTCACTGCCTTCATTTAACATTTAATTACTGCACTAAAGTTGTTTTTTTTTCACTGAAGGAGTAGTTGGCATCCTTTCTTCAGTTTATTTCAGTTTTTGGCATTTCACATTATGCCAAGGAAAGACGAAGCCCAGAAGTCGACCGCTCAGGCGGGCTCCGCTGTTAGCAACGAGGCTATCTTAGCCGCCGGCCACAAAGATGATCTTTCTAAAGTCTACACACTGGAAGGACGTCTGGACTCCATTGAAGCTCGTTTAACAACCCTGAAGACAGAGCACAGTGAGGATCGGCACCGTTTGGATGACATGGACTCGGCTCTAACCTCTACCGATGCCCGTGTTTCGGCCCTGGAGTCATCTTGTAGCGAGCTAGCGGCGGCTAACGGCCTTCTTAAAAAAATGGTGGACGACTTGGAGGGGCGCTCGCGCAGACAAAACATTCGGATTGTTGGCCTCAAGGAAGGTGTAGAGGGGGTCGCCCTGCAGAGTTTGTGTCAAAATTTATCTCTGAGCTGCTGGGACAGGACAACTTTCCCAAGCCCGTTAAAATTGATAGGGCGCATCGTGCCCTGAGACCAAAGCCACTTCCCAATGAACGTCCTCGGATCATCATTGCCAGAGTGCACAATGACCGCGACGTGATGAATATTCTGCGGTTGAGTCGACAGCAAGCCCCACTGATGTACCACGGCCAGAAAGTTTTCATATTCCCAGACTACACAGAGGAGGTTTCAGCGCAGCGCCAGGTTTTCAACACCATGAGGAAGAGGCTGGTGGAGGTCGGAGCCAAGAGTTCCCTGGTTTTCCTGCCAAGTGTCTTTAATGACGCTGTGAAATCCTTCACTTCACCGACTGATGCAGAGCGGTTTGCCAATTCATTGACTGATATTAAGTGACTTTGTTAATCATTCTGTGCTAAAGTTCGTCTGCAAATTCAATTAAGCTTTGGTGCACATTAACATTTATACAGTTTCTGGAGGTAAGCACAGCTCGTTGGGTTTTTTTCTCTCCGTTATCCGGCAGGCAGCCTCCACTCTAGATTGAGGGATATGCCTCTTAGTTCATGTTGTGGCAAGGGTGAGTTTTGGGGTTTTAGTTTTTGCTTTGTTATTGTTAAACTTCCTGTGTTCTGTTTTGTTTATCTTGTCAGCTGCTTTTTTATGTTGTGATAAATGCAGGATAATAGAACTTAAGTCGGGCATGAGTCCTATTAATTTTGTTTCCTGGAACTGTAGAGGCCTTGGTAAAGCACTTAAAAGAGCATTATTGCACAATTTAATAATAGGGACATGATTATAGGAGGCGACTTCAATTGTTATCTCGATCCATTGCTGGATAGGTCCTCCAATAAGTTTGCTTCTTCTTTGAAATCAGTGTCTGTTATAAATAATCTCATTAAGTCACTAAATTTAGTGGATATTCGGAGGCTTCAGCATCCTTCTGATCATAAATACTCCTTTTTTTTCCCCTCCCATAGTAGTTTTACCAGAATTGACCACTTTTTAATTGATTCTAAATTAATTTCACGTACAGTCAGTTCACTCTATCACGGGATCTTAATTTCAGATCACGCCCCTCTCTTACTACAGATCCACTTTAATCTTTATGCTCCATTGTTTAACTGGAAATTTATCCCCCCCCCATCAATTCTGATCAAGCATTTAAGGACCACATTTCAACTAAAATCTCAGATTTCCTTCTTTTTAATGACAACGGTGATGTGTCTGATTCAGTTTTGTGGGAGTCATTTAAAGTGGTTCTGAGGGGCAACATTATTTCTCATCAGTCTTCAATCAAGAGGGCCAGATCACAGCATCTTGCAGATATTCAGGCTAAATTGGCTGTTTTGGAGGACAGGTACCAGAATTCAAATGATGAAAATATACTAAATGCCATTCTGAAGGTAAAATCTGAATATAACCACATGCTTGGGGAACAAGTTGGTAATCGCATTCGCAAACTTAAACAAAAAGCATTTTGAACTGGGGGACAAGCCTGATAGATTGCTTTCCAGACTAATAAAAGGCACACTGGCATTTAGAGCCATTCATAAAATTTCTTCTCCCTCTGGCCAACTGTCAACTGACCCTAAACTCAGAAATGATGCCTTTTTCAATTATTACAGTGATTTATACACCTCTAAGAGTAGTGCTACCAGTTCGGACACTGTTCCTGAATCTCCCTGGTTTTTCCATCTATGCACCGATTTGTCAGAACTCAGCATTTAAAGCCAGGCAATATGGATGTAGTTTTTAAGCACTGGTTAAATAAGGGCATAGCTGCTGTTAAGGATTTATACATCAACAATCACTTTGCTTCCTTCACGCAACTCCAATCAAAATTCGATCTTCCTTCTAGCCATTTTTTCAGGTACTTGCAAGCTCAGAATTTTGTCAAACAGCACTTCCCCCACTATGAAACCTTACCGGTGCAGCATAGTTTCTGTGAGCTTATAAAAAAGCCAACTACCTCTAAAAAGCTAATTTCTCAGTTTGTTAATCTTTTCAGTTCATCCCCATCTACTAGGCATATAAAAGAGGCCTGGGCTTCTGATGCACTAGGTGAGATTTCGGATGAGCAAAAGGATTTGAGTCTGTCGAGAATCAAAACCTGTTCTATTAATTCTAGACTGCAACTTATTCAATTCAAAGTAAACTAAACTTAAGCTATTTCCCTGCGTCTAACCAAAATGCAACAAATGTAAATTAGATGATGGGACTTTGGGTCATCTGTTTTGCTCTTGCCCTAAAAGAAATGGCTTAATGATATGGTGTCCTGTATCTATCTAGAGGAAATTCGATTCTCTTTATCTGACAATCATCAGAAGTTTCTTGATGTGTTGGGTCCTTTCAATAGATACGTACAAAATAATGGGCTAAAATGACTGTCGTATTCATCTGGACCTGTATTTTCTTTTAATTTATTTTATTTATCTTCGTTATTATTTTTACTGTGATTATAATTTATTGTTTTCACCTTTTATTGATATTCCATATTCCATGGTGAGCTGTTTGGTACAATGTCTCCAGAAATGTCTGTGGTTCGCTTGGACTCTGTCTCACGCTTGATAGCACTCTACGGTCTGATGTGCACATATTTTATCCTCTCTCTCTCTCTCTCTCTCTATATATATATATATATATATATAT